CAAAGGGCACTCTATAGTATGTTGAAAAGTGAATTAAAATCTGGAAAAGAGTGTGATCCCATCTCTTACCCATCCATTATTGCTTCATCTGTGCCAACACTACCCTTACAAAGATATTTTAGAACAAACAGTAATTTAAAATGGTCCTTCCAGCCAGGTGCTGGTGGCTCACATCTATAATCCTAGCACTCAACAGGTTGAGATGTGAAGATTTTGGTTCAAAGCCAACCATGGTAGAAAAATCCATGAGTCTCTTTACCTTTAATTCATTACCAAAAAGCTAGAAGTGGAGCTGTGGCTCAAGTGGAAAGCTCTGTCCTTGAGCACAAAAGCTCAGGAACAGTGCCCAGTCCTGAGCTCAAGCTCCAGGACAAGAACACAGAAAAAAGGGGGTTTTGTTGTTTTTTTTAAATACCAGTCCTGGGGCTTGAACTCAGGGTTTAGACACTCACTATCCTGAGCTATTTTTTTGCTCAAGGCTGACACTCTCCCACTTGAGCTGCAGTTCTATTTTTTTTTGGGGGGGTGGGAAGAGAGTGGTTAATTGAAAATAATCTCATGAACATTCCTGTCCTGACTGGCGTTGAACTGAATCCTTCAGATTTCAGCTTCCTGAGTAGGTAGGATTACTACTTAAGCTATAACCCTAACCTGAAACTTTTGTTGTTTTTTTCCACTAGGTTCCCTTTCTGCCTGGGCAAACCAAGGCTTTGATTCTCCTAGTCTCAGTCTCTCAAATAGCTGGGATGACAGGCATGCAACATTGTGCCCAGCTATTGGTTCAGATGTGTTTTTTCAAACTTTCCCAGGCTGACTTCAAATGGCAATCCTCCCAATCTCTGTCTCCCAAGTATTTTGTGTTACAGGCATGAGCCATGGGTGCCCAGTGGGTTCCTGAGATTTTTTAACACTGGCTTCCATTTAATAAATTTCTCTCTCTCTCCCCCTCCCCCACATCTGTGTGTGTGTGTGTGTGCACGCACGCGTGCACACCCATATTCAGACTTAAATTCAGACATATTCTTGTTTGGCTTTTTTGCTGAAGGCTGGTACTTTACCACTTGAGCCACGGCTCCACTTCTAGCATTTTTGGTAGTTAATTGGAGAGTCTCATGGACTTTCCTGCATGGACTGGCTTTGAACCATGATCCTCAGATCTCAGTTTCCTGAGTAGCTAGAAACTTTAAACCTGATAGCATAAGCAATTTTAGGGGTGGATGGAGGGATCAGGCATACTAATACCTGACTATAATCCCAGCTATTAAGGAGGTGGAAGCAAGAGTTTGCAGCCCAAAGACCAACCCTAGGCAAAAGCATGAGAACTTAACTGAAAATTAATCCTCTCTGTGCTCAAGGGCTAGCACTCTACCACTTGAACCATAGCACCACAGCTTTTTCTGTTTCTGAGGAATCAAACCCAGAGCTTCATGCATGCTAGGCAAGCACTTTACCACTGAGCCACCTTCCTAGCCCTCATTCTATTTTCAATTACTTAAATACCCTTTTTATAGAGCAATCAAATCTTAGCCTGGTCTTCTAAATCTATTGTTTTGGGGATCTAGTCTCTAGGAATTCAATGATCATATCTAAGGGTTTAATTGTATATATAGGAAATTTCAGAGGATTCTTGGAGTTCTTGTGTATGAGGAATCACAGGGATTTGTAGGACTTTTGATAACCTAAGAAAATTGGAAAATGGTAATGGTAGCTTTGGATGACTGCCAGTCTGCTTACAAACAACCTTATTCTCTGACTTAGCAACTATGGGCATAGTCAGGTCAATAGAAATTCAACATTTAGGTTTTATAGTTTCTTGTAAATGTTCTTTCCTTTATCCAAACTGATCCTTATTGAGGATTCCTCTCTCCTGGGAATTTATGTCCAAGCATATTTTCCCCAAACATACGTTCCAACTTGTTAAGATAAATTTTCCAGGTACTGGTGGCTCATAACTATAATCCTAATTACTTAGGAAGCTGAGATGTGAGGATCACAGTTTGAAGTCAGCCTGGGTAGGAAAGTCTGTGAGACTCATCTCCAATTAAATCACAGAAAAAGCTAGAAATATCTCTGTGGCTCAAGTGTTAGGAGTTAAAGCCTCAGGACTGGCAAAAAAAAAAAATTAGAATTGGATACATAGGCATGTTGACCAGCAGTAGCATAGCTTCAGCTACCTAGTGAGACCCTCTGAAAAACAAGGACTGGGGTTGTAGTTCAGTGGTAGAGCACTTGTCTAGCAAGCTCAAGATCCTTGTCCAATCCCTAGCACTGAGAGAAAAAAAAAGATTCTGCGTAATTAAACTGTCATAAAGCAAAGCTTAAATATGGCAAGTTGAGGATAAGCTTCAGTTCAGAAAGTACTAGTTTTTCTGGGGGGACAGTTACAGGATTGAACTCAGGGCCATGTGCTTATTAGACAGATGCTGTATTACTTGGACCATGCCTCTTTCCCTTTTTTGCCATAGTTTTGTTTTTCATTGAGGGATCTTGGACTTTTTATCGGGGACCAGTCTCAGACCATGATCATCTTTCCACCTCACTGGTATTACAGTTGTGCTTCACAGTGCCCACCTTGGTTTGTTTGTTTTTTTAAGGTCTGGTGATATGACCTGGAACCATAATTCTCACACTCCGGATGTTATTTATATATACTATCCACCAATTCATTAAAAAGGGCTGGTGGTGTGGCTCAAGAGTTAAGTGGCTGCCTAGAAAACACAAGGTCTAGCTAGATGGTTTGGCTCAAAACCTGGCTGGCTGGGAAGCTGGCTCAGTGCTAGAGCGCTTGCCTTGCATGCATGAGGCCCTGGGTTCGATTCCTCAGCACCACATAAGCAGAAAAAACCCCAAGTGGTGCTGTGGCTCAAGTGGTAGAGTGCTAGCCTTAAGCTGAAGAGCTGAGGGACAGTACCCAGGCCCAGAGTTCAGGCCCATGACCGGACCGCCCCCCCCCCAAAAAAAAAGACAGCATGGACAGGAAAGTCCATGAGACTCCAATTATCCACCAAAAAGCTGAAAGTAGAGCCTGTAGCTCATGTGGTGTGCTTGCTTTCCTAATTTTTGACTGATGGGTACCATTCTGTAGAAGTAAACTATCTTGCCAAATTCCTTTTAAGTTAGTCTCTAATCCATGAGACCCCCCAACATCAAAAGCCATTTCCAAGGCAAAGAGGATTACAGTTTGAAGCTAGCTAGGGGATGTGTGTGTGTGTGTGGGGGGAGTCATTGAGACTATTAACAACCAAGAAGCTGGAAGTAGGGCTGTGGTTCAAGTGGCAGAGCATCAGCCTTAACAAAAAAAACTAAGGGAAAATGCCCAGACCCTGAGTTCAGGCCCCAGTACCAGTGGGGCTTAATACATGCCTAGATACACACATGGATGTGCACACATACACGAAGGGTTTTGATTACTAGAACTAGGGGAGAATGGGCTAATGAGCAGGTCTCAGAAGGAAAGACTCTTGCTGGCACCTCTGAAATTTTCCAGCTAGTCTACTTGGAGAAGGGTTGAAGGAATTTAGAGGCTGGGGTCAACTGGCATGGCTGAAGTAACACTGGTAGGAGCAGTATTAATAGGAAGCCAGCTGGCAAAGGAGACTGGGAATTTCTTGGGGGGGGGTCTGGTCGTGGGGCCTGGGCGCTGTCCCTCAGCTCTTCAGCTCAAGGCTAGCGCCCTACCACTTGAGCCTCAGTGCCACTTCCGACTTTTTTCTTTTCTTGCTTATGTGGTGCTGAGGAATTGAACCCAGGGCCTCAGGCATGCAAGGCAAGCGCTCTACCACTGAGCCATCTTTCCAGCCCTAGGCTCCAGTTCTTAAACTGTAGTAAAATAAAACAAGTCAATTTTTAATTTTAATATTTCTTTAATTTTTCAGATTCTTATATGTGTAGCTTTAGAACTCAGAGAAATTAAATATTCTAACATATCTTCCACAAAAATGAAAGAAAAAAGCAGTACAGTCCCCTGACAAAAAAAAATTATTAGTTTCTAACTAAAGGCAAACATGGTAGGAATGACAGAAAGGCTAATTAAAGAAATGAAAAGTTATTTTAAACCAACTTCAGTCAGGAAGACTTCACAGACAAATTAGTAGTTAAATAATCTTAAATTTGTCACACCATGGGCTATTTTGTATGTTTCAGGATTTAGACAACTTTCAATTCAGGAGTTCCAATAATGTCTATCCTAAAACATTAAGTGAATTGTACATTCAATTGCATATTGAATATTAATTACATATTGATTTGATAAGTCTGATTTGTTCAGTCTGTTCCAGACAAATTTGGTTTCTGACTATATTTCATTACAATTATTATATAGAGGGCAATTTTTTTGAGAAAGGGCAAATTGAATTTTGAATTAGAATTTTATCCATCATTACCCAATCAATATTCACACAGATGCCATAAAGTATGCAAAGAATGACAGAATCTTAACAAAATTTGGAAGGAAAAAAAACTGATGGTACATGAAAATACCAATAACTTAAAGCTAGAATTCATGCTAGAAGAGCTTATTGTTTATTGATATTAAATGGATTACTAACACACCAGCAAAAATGCTATTAAGACTATTGTTGTTTCTACTGATGAAACAAACTAAGGCTCAATAGTCTCTCAGTTAAACGTTACTAAATAAAATCAGTGCTTTGTGATTTAACTTTCAAAGACAAGATTGATAAACCTCATATATCATTTCCTATTTTTTCCCATAAATACTTGCTTGTTCCAGCTTCCACAACATAATGTGATAGAATTGTCTTACTGTCTTTTTTTATTTTCTGGAACTCTGGGCCTGGGTGCTGTCCCTCAGCTCTTCAGCTCAAGGCAGGCGCTCTACCACTTGAGCTACAGCGCCACTTCCTGTTTTCTGGTGGTTTATTGGAGATAGGAGTCTCACGGTCTTTCCTGCCCAGGCTGGCTTTGAACCATGATCCTCAGATCTCAGCCTCCTGAGTAGCTAGGATTACAGGCGTGAGCCACCAGCGCCCGGCTTAGTAGCTTTTTTATATTAGATACTATGGTATCAAAAAGCTGTAAAACCAAAAATATTTTCTGTCATTTAGCAAAGAATGTTCTGCCAAAAGGAACCTGCTCTTCATTCTAGACCTACTCCCTAATACCCTTGTTTGGTTCCAACTGCAAGCCACCCCATCTAGCTCCTTCCCAATTCAAACTGTCCTTTCCATAAATAATTTGGTTTCTTTTCTGTAAATGAATTCCAATTTTCCAGAAAACTGATTTAATATTGATCCCATAAACCATTTTAACTCAAAGGAAACAATAGAATGCTTAAAATTTACACTGAGATGGAAAATTAATGTTGTACGTTTCAAGTATTTCCTAGGCTTTTAAACTCTATGTAGATTTCTTAACTACTTGGTCTAGTATAATTTGCTTTGATCACGGTTCATGATAAAAGGTGAGAGGCTGCTATAAAACATGAAATCTTGAGAACAGCTTTTCAAGAGTTCTTGGACTTTGACTAAGGCATTTTATGTCCATAAGGATGGCAAATTCAGTACTCAACACAGTTACTAACAATGGAAAAGATAGAGGCACCTGTTAACTACTGAGTTTTACAGAAACACATTTATACATTCTTCCCTTGTAATGACAATCCTTAATGATAACAACTATGACTACAGAGCAGAAATAACAACTATGACTACGGAGCAGAAATTTACAACAAACTTGTGAGGATTCTTTAATAGAAAAGACAGCTTCATAACCCAGCTGTTAGGTTACAAAATACTCCCTTTTACCCTTGCATTACTGCTTGTATCTCTGAAACATTTGAAAAATACTTTTCTGTGAATTACTAGGCTGAAGGGAATGAGTACTTTTATTTACATTACAATTATCTCTGGCAGAATTTGGCATCTTTTTTCCATTGGCTGAATATTTCAACTGGCTTTTAGAAGAAGGCTGCTGATTTTCGTCTCTTGAGCTTTTCCCCCGTTTTGAACACTCTGAATCAGTTTGTTTCTTGCAGTTCTTATCTTTGGAATATCTCCTCTGTCCATCAAGCAGTTTTTCTGGAGGTGAGGATATAGCACGTAACTGATACCCATCTGGAGATCCTTTTTGCCGGTTTGGCATCATTTGTTCTTTATCCACTTCCTTCTGAAGTTGCAATGCTAATAACCTGTCCTGCTCTTCTTGTTTATGTCTCTCAAAAAGTATATGCTCCATATCTATCAGTTTTTGTGTAAAATTTTTTTCTGTTTCCTCTAGATCTGAGGAAGATTTGGGGAACATTTTTCTTCTTTTTGAAGAAAAGCATAAATCCCCAACTGCTTCAAATGAGGACTCGTTTTTCCTTTTGGAAATATCATTACTGGTCAACAGGTGGGCCTCTTTATTTTCTGCGGAATCTGTGCTGTCTCCAGTCTTCTGCATCCTACCTGACATACTGCACCCATTCTCTGTGATGCCACAAGGTGTAAATGTAGCTTCTTTAGAATAGGTTTTACGTCCTTCAAGACTTCTGACACGAAGTTCTTTGTCACGATTACTTGATCTCGTTATGACTCTTCCTTCAAAGCACTGCTCCGCATCACAGGTACGTAACTGTAGCAAAGGTGACTCTATTGAGGACACTGCACCTTGCTCCTGAGTTTCAAGGCATATCTGTGGAGAAAGTGTTGGCATATCTTCTTTGGCTCTAGTGTCTGGCCATGTAGGACTTTTGACATCACTACTGTCAACTTCCTGTAGAAAACAAAAACACCAAGTATACAAGGTGAGAACATTAAATTATAATTCCAAATACATAGACACTATAGCCAAACAGTCACTGAACATAACTTTTACCAATACAGTATACTCTGTCTCTCTCCTTAACAATGTTAGGGATAACAGCTGGGCGCTGGTGGCTCATACTTGTTATCCTAGCTACTAAGGAGGGTGAGATCTGAGGATCACAGTTCAAAGCCAGCCTGGGTAGGAAAGTCCATGAGACTCTTTATCACCAATAACATCCCCTCTTCCCCCACACCAGAAAACCATAAGTGGCACTGTGGCTCAAATGGTAGAGAGCTAGCCTTGAGCTGAAGAGCTAGGGACAGGGTCCAGGCCCAGAGTTCAAGCTCTATGAACCACAAAAAAAACAAAACAAAACAACAATATTAGAAATAAATCCAAGACCCTGTGCATGGTAGGCAAGTATCCTATTTCTGAGCTACATTCCTAGCTTCCTTTCTCTCTTCCTTTATTTTTTGGTAGCATTGAGGATTGAAATCTGGTGCTTTTTTTTTTTGGGGGGGGGGTCCGGTCGTGGGGCCTGAACTCTGGGCCTGGGCACTGTCCCTCAGCTCTTCAGCTCAAGGCTAGCGCTCTACCACTTGAGCCACAGT